AATATCGTCATATAATGTCGTGGAATTGTCTGTTCAATATCTCTATAAAGGTAAAAATTATCGCTATCACATTATCATGCTTATAGTTATGGCAAGATATATATATGTGCACAAATTGCACTTAGGATGCGGTACTTCAGGACCAAGAATTATATATGCTTTAAGTGATTTAAATCCTTCAGGGATTGCCATATAAGTTAAGTCATATAAGCCATATAAATAGGCTTTAGATGCATATCAAGTTTTCATGTCATGCTAGATATATAAGATAGATAAAAGTTATTGTACACACCATTGACTTTATACTTTCAAGTGTTTGAACTACATATCCAAAACTACATGTCTTTCATATGAAACCAATTCTATTCGAATTGTGTCTCTTTCATTTGGCCAATATTTTTCTGCCTGTATTCGACAGACTTAAGATCCTCATCTATACTTAGCGCTATGATAGATATCGTCGACGGACATTTTATATCGGTTTCCAATATTTTTTCATAAAGATATAACATAGAGATCTCTTCATTCATATTCCCAGGTACCTTAACCTCTCCTGAGATTTTATGAAGTGTTATGTCACGTGATCTTCTAGATCCCTTGCCTCCTTATTATGATCATTTGCTCATCTTCTTTATCAAAAAGTTTATTTGAAATCGATTTGTCTATACGTTTTAAGCGTACCATGACTTTGTCCTTCTAGGATTTAATCTAATGGGAGCATTTGCAGTGAAAATATAATTACTTTCTTTGGGTCAGTAAATGCGCCTAACATATTTTGCAATATATTGTAGATAAATTATCTTTTTATGAACTTCAAGTTCATATTATCTTATTCGAGGATCTAGATGTACAAATGATAATTCATTCCACGTAACTTTTTCTCAACCGTTTATTCTTTCTCCCCCTCATGTTAGAAAAACTAACTTGCTTCCTCAACTTTGAAAATTCACCTTTGTGCATTATGGTGTTAATCAAAATATACACCGCACATCAATACTAATAAGATGGAATTGTTTGGTTCCTGACTCTGAACCACTTGTGAGGGGAGAATGTAATATACTTTCGTATATAACGTATATCAAACGAAACTGATATAGATAACTTTATTCTCATAAGCAATAGTTTAGCTATTAAGTGGAGGCACTCAATAAATCATTTTGTTAAACCAACTGTGATATAAACTAACTTATCAAAATGAACTGTCTTGAATAGAAAATCTGAAAATTATGCTCTAAATTAAACTATTGAGCAATTTATCTCGCAAAACTTCAGGTTGCGGGTTAATAATAATCACATCTTATGTGGTATACATGGCAGGTGAATGTGCCAATACTCACCTTTGATATTTCCAGCATTGATGGGATTCAATCCCAAGTTTAGTTGATCTATTAATCAATGAGAACAAGCAACATAAGAGAATACGTAAAGAACTTTCTAGTTCTTTAATATTTACCCATGTGAATTCTCTTTTATTTTTGCACATCATACTTAAATTAACATGGCTAAATCAATTATCCCAACTGAATAAATTATCAATATTGATAAACTTCAGTTTTACACCATGACGTGTGCAATTATCAATAAACTCCAAGTTTATTATGATATGAGTTTTTATATCAATAAACTTCTAATTTATTGTGACATTCGTCTATTTGCGTAATACAAACTGGAGAATAAAGCAGGTAGCTTTTCACATACATATTACCCTGCTCTAAGTTGTAGTAATAGAAGATATTAAATCTTTCCTTTATTTATAGTCTCAATATAACCAATCGATTTCGCGAATACTTTAGAAACTCAATAAGTTTCTTTGAGACTTACTACGACACAATACATTATTGATAATCAATTGTATTCCTTTAAAATAGTAATAATTGGCTCTTCTAGATCTCTCAATTAATTTTGTACTACCATATATTTATCAATATCCATATAGTAAATATCTCTCCCAAAGAGAAAGTTATACCATTATGGTCATGGTCAAAATTATATGCAAGATCTGTTTCTTGCATTACTGTTATCCTTTAATAATCACATTGCCAAAATATTTTGGCGTGCAATAGGTACGTGACCAATGATTATTCATGCCATAATAATGACATTATTTTCTTATTTTCTCTCAAACCTCCCTCTAGAGGTGAGTGTGGTATATTCATAACCACTAGTACGTTTATATTCTTCCAAGAATGAATATTCATAAATCACATGTTGTCACATTCACATCATGAATGGACCATAATCATCTATATGTGCTTTATAATATCTCATGTCATATCGATGACAAACATTACTTTCACAGAGTGAGGATTATTTTGAGAATCGTTATTGTTTTCATTACCACAATGATGACGATTATAATTTCGTCTGTTGCCACATCCACATCCACTGAGACCTTCACGGTAATAATTTTGTCTTCTTTCAGACTTTTCACATATTGCTACCACATTCTCTTAAGGGAATGAGAATGAAGCAAATTAGTCAATGGGACGGGTTTCCACTTCTTGTGCCCACATTCATACATGAATTTGATCATGGCAATATATAGAAATTTTATCACTTCGGGTGGTCATAATTTCTTACAAACTCCATTAGAGTTATAATCAAATTTTATTGTCTTTACTTGTATTTAAAATCAAATTATAGAATTTCAAGAATTTAAAAGAGAAAAATAAAGTAAAATACTTACCTTAAATCCAGAAGAAAATTCATGGAACAACTGACAATCATCATGCATAATATTATGGACAAATTGAGCACCATGCACGTATCCCAAAGTCATGGCGTTAGAAGATTTGCGTAAGCCCCTCAGAATTGGCAGGAACTAGTCCGTGAAAAGGATAGAGGGGTAGTAGGGAACTGGAATAATGATCAGAAAATAATACATATAGGATGAAAATTTGCAAGAAGTTTTATAACGGGGAGGAGTGTCCTTATGGAGATAAGTGTAATTTTCTTCATGAACGTCCTCCGAAATTTGAGCCTGACATTCCAAGGCAAAGGGAGAGTTCTGCAATAAGCATTGGAACTACGGGTAACAGAAGTGATCTTGAGCATAATGAGATTAGTAAGCATGGAATTGCAGATTCAACTGATGTCCGAATTAAGCCTGTATATTCCATGGGTGGTTTAATTTCTCATACATTAGACAACTATATAAATTAAAACAACTGCCCTTTACTCAATTGGTTAGAGTCTCGTACTGATATCGTGTTATAAAATAATAAAAGAAGAAAGAAGATTATTGCAGAGAAAAGTAGAGAGAGAACTCTTATTGATTTGGGATGAATTACGAAATAAAATCCGAAAAAGTGATTTAACTATCAAGTAACAAACCCTAAAATCTCTCTAAAATATAAACATTCACCTTAAATACAATTCTATTTATAACAAATAGAATATTTTCTCTTTTTTTCGTGAATGAAGCCTAGCAATAAATTTGACCCATTTATTTATCATGTGATAATGTTAGCAATTTGGTTCCAACAATGATAGAGGACCAAATTTAATCTGAATTTATTTACAAGTCCATATTTATTTCAGCATGTTCTTTTACCTAAATAACCAATAGATTTATGGTAAGCTTAATTAATATTAAAATTATTTTGGTCTAGTAACTTTGTATTCATGCTTTTATAATAATATAGATAATCATATCTTATCCTTTACTTTTCTTTTTATATAATAATTCTACTTCATATCCTATTTTTCTTAGAAATATTGCAAATGTACTCTTCATAGGTTGATGCATGACATCATGAAACGACGGCAAATATACAATCTATCTAATGATTATATTCATCAAACAATACAATGCAATACAAATATACAATACAATACATTATTAGACAACAAGTAGCAACAGTCCAAACAAGATGTAAGCTACTAAGAGAGTCTTTGTCGGGACCCCAATGAACCATAGAGAGTATAATTTGCATAAGACGAGTTTTCCTTTATTTCTCGATAGGCTAAGACTCAAGAGTAGATTGATTATAATTTTAGTTTAGGAATACGTTAGATGTCAGCAAATTGGATATTGACTATAGGAGAGATATCTTTCTCAAATATATTAATACCCTTCAGTGTATTAAATCAAAGTTAGGGCCACATGAGTAGACAATCAAGGAAGATTTAAAATTACGAAAAAGAGACTGAAATATTATGTCTTAGTTGAAATCCAAGAAGGTAGGAGAAGTAACAAAAGCCCAAATCAGGGGGTAAAAATAGACCTCCAAAACGATGACATCACATAGCATGTGAGGACCCCAACGTCTTGTCCAATAGAGCAAATATGTATACATACAAGGTAATGAGGCAAAATATAGTTAGTGCACATACATCAAATGCCAAAAATAGCCCTTGATCCGCAAGTTGTCAAGACAACGGCCAGCTGCTTCCCAAACTACTATATATATCAGAAAATTAGTATCAAGTACTTCTTCGTTCACTTTTACTAACACGTTTTGATTTTTCACGCCCCTTAAAAAATAATAAATAAAGTGTATAATTTACCATGATACCCATATTAATTGATGCGTATTTTATTGAATTTGAGAAAATTAGTTGAAATGAGTAATAAATACTATGGGTATATAGCATGAAAAACAAAATTATCAATCTCTTGATATGCAAAGTGACGAGTAAAAATAAAAATCTATTTTTAGTATACATACCAAGTAAAAGTGGACGGAGGGAGTATAAACGAGAGCAAATATAGAAACTGCAACAAGAAAATTTTAACCACTAACATAATTATCAAAAGTAAAGTTGATGTCCACTAAGCCAACTCAAGCAAAAGGGGAGATTCAACTTAAAATATAACAATTGGATTGGATGCAGATTCAGTAGCACTCTAAGCATCTGACAAGCAAAGGAAAATAAAGTTAAATGCTAAATTTTTCAGTTACCAAATCTCGAGTTTGGTTGTACTGTAGTAGCCAGAAACTACCAATCAAGTCAATGCAGCATTATTAGTCAGGAGCTTAAAAGCATTAGCACTAAAATTAAACTGTAGAAACTAATTAAATTATCATAAAGACACAGTTTTAATCTATTTAAAATATGCCAAGAGAACAAGTACAATATAAAAGGCGCATAATAAAAATGGCATCACTAAGCAAATAGAAACATCGAGTCCAAAACTGTAAAACATAAGTTTTCCATACTTGAAGAGTAAGGAAATGAAGAAATGAGCAACGAGGGTATTCAGGCAGTGGTAGCTGATTGAGCAGCAAGCCTCTTCCGTGCCTCCTCAATGATGGACAACTTGATACCTTTTCCTTTAGGTAGAGACACCCATGGCTTTGTACCTTTGCCAAGGGTGAAAACATTTCCCAAACGAGTAGCAAATTCATGGCCTAGGGCATCCTGAATGTGAACGGTCTCAAAGCTACCCTTATGCTTCTCCCTGTTCTTAATAACACCAACACGTCCCCTGTTTCTACCACCAGTTACCATCACAACATTTCCAACATCAAACTTGATGAAGTCAACAATCTTATTGGACTCCAAGTCCAGCTTGATGGTATCATTGGCCTTGATGAGAGGATCGGGGTAGCGAATTGTTCTACCATCATAAGTATTAAGGTAAGGAATCCCCTTAGTACCAAACTGAATAGATCGGACCTTGCAAAGCTTAAACTGCCCAAATAAAGAAGTCCAGAGTATGTCACTCAAAACAGAATGAGACACACACTTACACTATTAATGTCAAACAACAACATCTTAAATTTCACAGCATAGCAATACATGAAAACCCACCTTGGCTTCCTCATCCCTGATAGCGTGAAGACGGAATCGTCCCTTTGTGTCATAAAGGAGACGAAAGTTCTCATTAGTCTTTGGAATTGAGACAACATCTGTATTTCAAAACATTATCATTATTACTATGCCAATGAACTGAAACAAATGGAGGGCTTTTAAATGAAAGTGTAGACGGTCAAAACCATATTTGCCCTTCGTATGACTAATCGAGATTGGAACGTGGTGGTCCGAGATTTATCATTGTAATATCGAACCATAATGCGAAGTTAGGTTGTCGAGCTTGTGCCCTAGAGATCGATATCGGCCAAGACTGAGCTCGAGACCCAGAGACCGATCAAGATCGAGATCGGCCTAAATCGAGATCGGGCAAATAGACACCGGCCAAGATCGAGATCAAGCCATAAAACAAAAAAGCAGTTATAGCCGCAATTGTGGGAGAATCTCGGCGGAAATCACGACGCAAATCAAGGAGAAACTAATTAATTATTCTATTATGGGATCCCCACTATGTATTTTTAATTATATCCAAAATAGGATTTCCCCACTATATTAAGGGCTGTTATAATTTGTAGAAAGGAGGCAGATTCATAGAATATAAAGCAACAACTACCTTACTTCTGTTTTGGGATTTTCAGCCATATTGTTCTTCTATTAGTTGTTCTTCATTCAATTTGAAAGTGATAAAACTAGAAGGCTTTGGCTAACTAATTCATTCGGTTTGCATTCATTTCTTTTACAGCTAATTTAGATACTCATTTATTTATCTTTCCCAATTTGTATCAAGTTATACCACGTATCCTTAAATATCCGCATAAATTCAATTGACTATCCGTTTTTCGGGTAAACAGAAAGCAATCTTTAACAAGGTTTCCGGAATAATACGTAAAAAGACTTAAGAGGAAGTGCACATACCCATGAAACCAGCTGGGTAAGTCTTATCTGTCCTCACTTTTGCATCAACCATAACCTGTCGTTGCATCAGAATTGCAATCACCTCACGGTATGTGAGAGCATACTTCAACCTGTTTCGCAAGATAATGATGAGCGGCAAACACTCCCTTGATTTGTGTGGACCAGAGGAAGGCTTGGGAGCCTGTAGAACAAAAACAGACAAGTTGTAAGTCAAAGCAGGCAGCAAGAAACTATCTATAATTATGAACAAGGACAATTTACTTACAAAGGCTCCACCAAGCTTGTCGAGCATCCAATGCTTAGGCGCATTGAGCCTCTTCAAATGTTTCTTCAACCCTCTAGCCTGTACATAAATATAAAAACCCAAATGTCAGACACATGTCTCAGGCAATATGACTGGTCAGACACATAATAAAGTGACAGTGGGCAGGTACTACAACGACATTCTTCAAACTAAAAGAAAGGGCAGCCAAATTTCCAAGCAAATCAGCAGACAAGTTCAGTAAGCATATAAATCTAGGTTGTAAACAAGAAAATGAAATAAAATTACATAAAACCAACATTTTTAGCTGTTGCAAAACACATGATTACCTGCTTCAGATCATATATCAGGCTCCAAAGACAGGATGAAAATAAAAAGTTTTATTTATCTTCTACCCAGCGAAGCATTAAACAAATGAAAGCATATATGTTTAGATCTAGAACGGAATCCTCATCTAACGAAGAGATACAGAGCTACAACGAAGCATTAACTAATAAGAGAATCAACCAAATTTCTTAGTCAATTAGAGTACGACGAACCATTTTGGTCTCGAATCACCTCCCTGAGAGCTCTCGGCTTAAGTATCTTACCTGATGAAAACGCGAGAAACTTAAACCCTAATTGTCTGTTTTAAATACTTACGTCAAGCCCTAACTAAGTTGGGCTGCATTTCCATTTGGGCTCTCAAGCCGTGGGCCGCTTTATTTCTTCCGACTATTTTCAGTTATCAACTCAATCTTTAATCAAACTCTATTATATTGGCATGACTTTATGTTATCTCGACCTATTTGTTGAATTATTTACAACCTCTACCAGATCGGTATAACTTTGTGATTGTTTGATTGTTCATCAAACTCTTCCATATTGGCATGAGCTAGTATTATATGCATTCGACCTATTTGTTAAAATGTTCACAAACTCTACCGGATTGGCATGACTTTGTGATTGTTCAATTGTTCACCAAACTCTACCACATTAACATATTTATTAACCTGTATCTAGAAATTCCTTTACCTGAGCCATCCTCAATCTCGACCTTTGCAAGTCATAACTGATTCACCAGCATACCCCGAACCGAAACCAATACAATACATAACCGTGCAATCAATTCGTCGATAGTAGACTCCCCCACTTGGCTCAAAACCATGGAATAAAACATCTGATTACTTACAATAACCATACCCCATTACTACCATAATTCCACAGTGAGATTCCACTAAATCCTTCATCCGCTCATGCAACACAAACCTTCTAGTACCTCAAATCATCTGCAAATCTCGCGTTCATCCTCGTGATGGTTAAGCCAACTTCCACAAGCGATCCAAACTCAAATTGCAACATATATTATTCATTGGTAAAAGAGAACTCTCTACAAAACATCATAGAAATCACACAACCTCAGGACACCTCGCAGGAGATAACCCATATGCTTTGCCTCAAACTGACATCTCTCTATACCATTCCACAGTCACGACTACTACGCAATCACTTAATCTTCTCGATTCTGAACTCATCAACAAGATATGAGAATCTACTTCACTCCACAATTAAACAACATGAAAGATCCTTCAACACACCCATAACTCGAGACCATACGCCAATTCAATACAGAAACAGTCACCCCATAGTCCTTGCTACATCTCAAGTAAACTCTTCTCGTCATATTTGAACAATCTGAATACATCTCGCAGTCTCATCATACTCACCACATAGTCATCCAATCACAAATTCCATTAATAGGGACACCAACGAACCTATAAGTCCAAAAGCACGTGCTCACGTAATCAAAATCTCCGTGCTCAAGCTTCCGTCAAAACCTGGCCTCAAGTCCTCCAGACTGGCCCATCATCAGCACGCCAAAATCACATCTCACATCTCAACCATGGAATCACAAGCTGCCGGTGCACAACCGATACTGAGCGCTCACATGCGCATACGAATACGTGGAAGGAATTCAAAGAGTTATGCTTCAAGCTGAATCAATGCCATACGATAAGGAAAGAAAGATGGAAAGTATATCCTAGATGTCCTGTAGCCTCTCGAAGATAGGTATGGACGCCATCATACTGATCCGCAAGACTCTACTTGACACTTGCTCATGACTTGTAGAACCTATGAACCTAGAGCTCTGATACCAACTTGTCATGGCCCAAAATCCAACTAGCCGTGATGGCACCTAACCCAACCCGCTAGGTAAGCCAATTAACAATTATCCAATTCCAATGATATTTAATAAGACAATTAAGTAAAGAAATTATCTAAATCTTATACATTTCCCAAGGACTGTTAGTACAAATCATGAGCTTCTAAGAATAGGGTTACAAAGATGAAATGAAGTAAATACATCATCTGTTAGAACATAAATACATTAACATAGTTTTATAGATCTAAGGCTACCATGAACAAGAGGCAGCTACAACCGGGACGCAGATACATATTCAAATCCAGCTCCCATCGAACACAGCAACATCAACAGCTAACATCTACACGTAAGGTGCAGAAGTGTAGTATGAGTACAACCGACCCCATGTACTCAATAAGTAACAAACCTAACCTTAGGTTGAAAGTAGTAACGAGCTAACACAAAGGTCGGGTCCAACATCAATATTCCACAACAGTTCATAAAAGTATAGTACAAGTAACAAAAAAGGTATCTCAGAAATAAAATGTTCAGTTCATTCACAGTTCCAGAAAAATAGGCATTGCTTTTCAAGTATCTCAGTGAATACCCAAATCTTTTACCAAAAATGCCAAAATACGAGTAAGTTTGAAAAATGTGATTTTTCCCAAAATTCCTTTCAATAACAAGTAAGATGTTTCATTTTCAGATAGCATGGGGAAAGTACATCTTTATGCCTACATGTCAAGATACAGGGAAAATCATAAATGTCACCAAAACCGGGTAGTAGAAGGAAATACATCTCTATGCATGTATCTCAAGTACGCATGTCAAATGCAATGCATCTTAATGATGAGATCATGTACTCATACTCTCAGAGTACTCAATCTCACTGTCTCGCAATCCCTCTCACTATGCTCAACGCTCAACACACTCAATCACTCAGCACTGTACAATACCTATTGCGGTGTACAACCCGATCCATATATGACCATAAGGCCCGTTGCGACGTGTAACCTAATCCACGTATATATAGCCATAAGGCTCGTTGCGGCATGTAACCCGATCCATATACATAAATATAACCAACTGCGCTCACTGGGGGTGTGCAAACTCCGGATGGGCTCCTACAGCCCAAGCACTATAATCTGCACGGACAACTCACGTGCCATAATATCAATATCTGAATTCGCACGGACAACTCACGTGCAGCACAGACAACTCACATGCCATAATATCAATATCTGGATCCGCACAGACTACTCACGTGCTGCACAGACAACTCACGTGCTATAGTATCAATATCCTCACAAACAGGCCCCCCGGCCTCACTCAGCCATTAATCTCTCTAGTCTCACTCACAGGCTCACAATGTCATGAAACTAGCCTGACAACAATGATATGATGTATCAATAAATAACAACTGAGACTGAGATATGATATGAATGAATGAATATGACTGAGTACAAAATATCAATAAAATCAGTGAAATGACAGCAAGAAATGACCTCTATGGGTCCTAGCAGTATCGTCATAAAGCCTAAACATGATATCTAGCATGATTGACAGCCCAATTACTTTATCACATGGTGAAAACATGGACAACAACAAAGTAGGACCACTATACAATGCCATGGAAACAACAGAGTCCCAATTCACATGGTGCACGCCCACACGTCCGTCACCTATATGTGCGTCACCTCAATACCAATCACATAACACGTATTTCAGGATTTCATACCCTCAGCACTAAGTTTAGAAGAGTTACTTACCTCTAACAAGCCAATACCAATGCCGAGCAAGCCAAGAGATGCTCCAAAGATGCCATCACGCGTGTAGCGACCTCCGAACGGCTCAAAACTAGCCAAAAGCAACTCAAATACATCAAGTAAAGCCCAAAGAAATAATTCCAAATGATAAAGATCGAATCCTTAATCAAAAACCAAAATCGGCCAAAAATCACACCCGGGCCCACGCCTCGTAACCCAACAAAACATACAAAATCCGACAACTCATTCAATTACGAGTCCAACCATACTAGTTTCACTCAAATCCGACTCCACTTCGATGTTCAAAACTCAAAAATTCATATTATGAAACTTTAGGCCAAAACCCCCAATTTCCTCTTTAAAATTCACAATCCAATTACCAAAAATGAAGGTAGATTCATGAAATATAACCAAAACCGAGTAGAGAACACTTACCACAATCCTTGTGATGAAAATTGCTTCAAAAATCGCCTCGATCCGAGTCCCACATCTCAAAATATGAAGAAAGAACCAAAGCCTCGATTTTTATGGTTTCTGCCCAGCTTTTCCGCATATCCGGTTAAAATGTCACATCTGCGACCTCCGCTTCTACAGAATAAATCTCGCCTCTGCGAAGCCCATAGAGGCCGGCCCTTCCGCATATGTGGACATTCTCCGCTTCCGCAGACGCGCATATGCGCCCTTACTTCCGCTTCTGTGGTCTTCCTCAACAGCTCACACCTCGCTTCTGCGACTCCTCTGTCGCTTCTGCGACCATCGCACCTGCGCAAACCAGTAGCAGGTGCGATCACACCAGAACCAACAACTTAGCAAAAATAAAAAATGTAATGAAATGATCCGAACCTCGTCCGAAACTCACCCGAGCCCCTCGGGATCCCGTCTGAACATGCCAACAAGTTCCATAACGCAATACGGACCTACTCGAGGCCTCAAAACACACATAACAACATCAAAACGATGAATCGCACCTCAATTCAAAATCTATGAACTTTGAACTTTCAAATTCTATATCTTGTGTCGAAACACATCAAATCAACCCGGAATGATCCCAAATTTTGCACACAAGTCCCGAATAACATAACGAAGCTATTCAAATTTCCGAAATCACAACCCGAATCCGATATCCTCAAAGTCAACTTCTGGTCTAACTTTTGAACTTTCCAAACCTTCAAATTTTCAATTTTTGCCAACTTGTGCCGAAACCTTCTAGAAATATACAAATACAAATACGGGCATACGCCCTAGTCCAAAATCACCATACGGACCTACCAGAACCATCAAAACTCCGTTCCGGGTTCAAATTCACATAAAGTCAAACTTGGTCAACTTTCCCAATTTAAAGCTTCAACCATGAAATCCATTCTTCCAATTCGATTCCGAATAACCTGAAAATCAAAATCGACGATTCACATAAGTCATAATACATCATACGAAGCTATTCATGCCCGTAAACTACCGAGCGAAGTGCAAATGCTCAAAATGACCGGTTAGGTCGTTACAGAAGATACCGTGCCTGATAGATGGAAAGGAGAAAATAGGTGCAAAGTAGATAATTAAGGCCACGAAGATGGAAGGTTCATTAATAGTCATGAATATGGAAAGAAATCAGCATAATCCCTGATTATGCGTGATTGATTGTTATACCATCACCGTTACGAATCACCCATGTAATAAGTAATCAATGTAATAAATATTTGTAACAGACATGAATTAAATAGGGTGAAGCAGTTACAGATTGTACCCTTATATAAGTCCCCT